TAGTTGTGACAAAGCAAACAAGAGGACGAGGCAGCGACGGTTTTTGAACACGAATCGGCGGTAGGCGGTTGTTTTGGAGCGGCCGTCCGTCGGGTCAAAACGTGCAAAAAGAAAACTAATAATATGTCGGCCAAAAAACACAATCTTAGTTTTTGTTGTGTAATGAAGAAACGAAGCGATTGGGCCTTTGAGCATTTGAGTTACCCATAAAGACTTCGCATATTAAGTTAACAAACAACTGTCGTCACACGGTTCTTAACCTCCTCATTCACCTACTACACCAAATCAAATCAAAAGCAGACTTTTTGATGTATAAATAAATAAATATGTTACACGTTTAATAAGAGCATGACTAAAGCAACTAAAATATATGGTTTGGACAAATAAAGTGTAAATTTGGGTCAAAACGAGTAATTATACACGGGTGAGGTGGTGCGGATTTAAAACATGTTTTTGTTTATATGTTTACAAGAACTATATTATCATAATTTAGGCCGATTTTAACCGGCTTTCAAATTTAGCATCATTTTTTGTGTTGGCTCATTTTTAATATTAAATATAAAGGCATTTCAAAATTAAAACTTATCATTTTAAAGGTTATTGAAATTCAAACACAAATTTAGTGTTAAGCAATCACTCTTTTGATATTTGTGGTTAGAAAAGCTCTTAGAATATACACAAATTAAAAGTACTATCCAAACAAATTTTTAATTTAAACTTATACTACTTAAAAGGTTGGTCTTATTAGTTCTATTTTACCTCGAATTACAAATGTATGTCGTATTGGTTTCTTGTATAAAGTTTGTTTATGTGATTATTTGGTTGTCGATCCATTTGTGTACGTTCTATTATTTTGATTGTTCAGTCAGAAGCTGTTCCATAAAATATTTTGATCGGTTTAATGTTGTTGTTGTCTTTTTGTTTTTAATAATGTAAGTAATTAGGTTTGATTATGATTTTTTTTATTCTTCTACATATTTTTAAAGATGAAAATGATATGTGTTAATAACTTGTTTACAAAGTTTTCCAAAAGAACACAAAGTATTTTTTTTCTTTCACTTTTTAGCTATTATTTATTATAATGTTGCCAAGAGACTCAAAATTACAAATCAATTGTCCTTTTCTAATGCGTCAGACGATGTTTCAACATGGTAGTTATTGCGTTTTTTGGGAGAATTGATGATTTTGAAATGACATTCTTTTTGGTTAAAAATATCATTTCATAAGATTATTAGAGACTCATTACTTATAAGGGTAAAAAAATACATGCATAATTTTGGATATTGCTTATAAGACACCATTATTTTGGATATTGTATTTTAAGTCGGTAATAATGGTTGTTTTATATAGAAACTATGGATGTTTACCGATTCACATCCAATGTGTAAGAATAAACTAATCTAATCCGATTAACTATCGGATATTGTTAATCAATCCAATCCAGTTACTTTTGATTAACATAACTAAACCAGTCAAATTAAACATTAGGTTTGGTGAGTTTTATCCCTAATGTCCTCAATAATTTCCCTCAAATGTAATCTTATTTTTATTGGAACGACATAAATAACATTAACGAACTAGCATCATGCCGGAGGAAGAAACAATATCACAAAATAGAAATAACAAGAACGAGGTTTCAGTAACCAACCAACCCATTTAACTTTTAGTCTAATGTTTCTGTCGAAAATTCAAAATAAAGATTGTGCAACAATTTTATTGGATCGCTTCCTTAGATTTTTCAGCTTCGAAACTCCAAGAGTTTTGAAATGTCAGGGTGTCACAAAGAGAAGTAAGGATAACTGCATCAAAACAACTTCTTTACGAGGGTCGAATGATCAAAGTAATAGAATCAATTTGCATTTGTATGACCAATGAGGAGATTCAAATCCCACAAACCCCTAATCAAAGCCCAAACAAGAAATGCAACATGGCAAGAAATAAATAATTAGTCACTAGTTTCGCAGTAAAGATCGCAAATCCGGTATACAAAGAATTAATGTTAATTTCCATATTATCTAAGATTTAATCTCATTTTATGTTTATATCTTTTATTTTCTTTAGAAACCTTTAGGATATATATATATATATATATATATATATATATATATATATATATATATATATATATATATATATATGCATATTATAATAAATTTAATATTTAAGAGTAATTGAAATATTGTATTGTAAGTGGATAATAACGTGATGAATGATATTGGATATTCATTAGATAAATGGATAATGACTTGAAAGGCTAACAAACTTTCGATTTTATTCACCTTTAGTCACTAAACTTTTTTTCATTATCTATTTGCCACTGAACTACTGAAATTGTTCACATTTTACCCTTATGATCGGTTGTTACCGGTCATAAGGGTAAAATGTGAACAATTTCAATAGTTCAGTGGCAATAGATAATGAAAAAAAGTTTAGTGACTAAAAGTGAACACAATCGAAAGTTCGTTTCCCTCTAAAAAAGTTAAATGACTAAATGGGTCTTAAGTCCTCATTACCGCCTCACCAGACACCCAACTCCCATGTGTCAAACCTTAATCGACCATAGTGAGCTAGGAGAGAAAGAGGGCTAAGATTTGAGTGTTTTGTGATACATTGGAAGATAATAAGAGAGCATCAAGCTTGGATCACGAGGAGGCTTTGGATCTAGAGGTTTTTCAGGAGTTTGCTTCAGTTGGAGGTAAAAAGATGCTAACTTGATCATTTCCTTATGAGATTTTGTGTTAGGGTATTTGTAGGGTTTTCTCCCATCTATTTTGGTGGTATTGAGTCACTTAAGCATGTCTTGAGGTTGAAACCTAAAATCTTGACTGTAGGTAGTCTAGTGACCCAAAGACCCGAACTTTATTGAGCTAAAGGCAAACTTGTGTGCATGTAACCCTTGTTGGAACTTGTATTGGCATTATGAGCTAAATATGCCATGCATGGACGTAAAGCTCGCAGCTTTACGTGGCATTCGAGCCTTAGGGAGCTAGATCTAGAGTTTGGGGTCATGGATCTGCCTTAAGACGTCTGAATGAGCACATTGACTGAATGGACTCGCCGAGTCAACGAGCTGAATCGATGAGTCGACTAGGGTTTTCCCTAACGAGTCTGGACATGGGTAACTTGGCGAGTTGATGAGAAAACTCGACGATTTCAATTGGGTTTTCGCGACATTCTGAGAAAACAAGGGGACTCGGCGAGTCACATAGATGCACTCGGCGAGTCGGGTCAACATGGACTATTGACTCGAGTGTGGTAAAGTAGCCTTGTGACATGATATATATATATATATATATATATATATATATATATATATATAGGGAGAGAGAGAGATGTAAACACCTCTATATAAGGTGGATTTATACCACATGTAGAGATGTGCTTGAGAGATGTAACATTGAGAGTGTTAGTGTGTGTTAATTATATTGATTTAGATCTAGATCATTTTTTGTAAATACCTTTCATAATCGAATGCATCTCTTAAACACCCAAATCACCATGTTCTTTGTGTGTTCTTTAATTCCACATGTCAAACCAATGGTTATAATTCACATAAGTGAGAATGATTATTTTTTTTGTAAAAACAAAATCAAATTGAAAATTTTGATTTTTTATTTTGGAAAATACCAAACCATTGGTTTTTTATATTTCGGTTTTAGTTTTTCGTAGATTTCTTGATCAACAAATGTTGCTAGAATTTAAGAAAAATAAATAATTTGCTAAAACATAATAGAATAGAAAGTTGGTTCACATTTAGTCATTGAACTTTTTTAGAGGGAAACGAACTTTTGATTTTTTTTCATATTTAGTTACTAAATTTTTTTTCCATTATCTATTTGCCACTGAACTATTGAAACTGATCACATTTTACCCTTACGACCGGGAATAACCAGTCATAAGGGTAAAATGTGAACAATTTCAATAGTTCGGTGACAAATAGATAACGAAAAAGTTTAGTGACTAAATGTGAACAAAGTCGAAAATTCATTACCCTTACAAGTCATTATCCCTTAGATAAATTTAGTTAGGTTCTTTTGGATTTTTGTTGGATCTGAATTGTTGTCTAAAAACCGACGGATTAAATTTGAAAATCTGAAATTTTTTGATAATTTGATCCGATTACATGTGGATGTATGATATGTGTGGGTCGATTTTAATTGGGTTGGTTTGTTTACATTGGATCTATAGATTTGAGTTTAAGAATCTATTATGTACGATTAGTTGCATTTGACATTGTTTCTTGCACTTAATAGGTCGTTAACATAAGTACATTATATTGATAAACACAAATAATATTTATTTTTGTTTCTGAATATTTTAATCGCATATTTAAATACATAGTCATGAAAATAAGCAGGCGTATTAAAAAATAGAAGACACGTATTAAAAAGCTTATCCTGTTATTTACCTTATAAAGAATTGCTTATATTATTTGAAAAAAAATACTATCAACAAATTGAAATATTTAATAGGTAGTAGCATCCCTTCAAATTCCCATTCGAATCTCTATCTACGCACGTATACATTATGCATTTCACAAGCAAAATCGCCGAATTCCCGTTTCAGAGCATGGGTTTAATGTTTAATTTATTAATTTCATTTTCTGAATATTCTTTAACATTTTGTGAAATTAGTTTATAATTTTTGGGGTGGAATAACAGAAAATACGTAAAATAAGCGCCAAGTGTTGGTAGTAGTGTACTGTAGAAAGCCGGTCAAGAAACGACACTTTTTGTCAAAATAAATACAATAATAAAAAAATTAAATTTGAATTTTTGTTTTTCTTTTATTAATTTCGAAAAAAAAAGGAAAAGAAAAAAAAAATTGCCGTTCAAAAAAACAAAGAAAAAGCCAGCCGTCCTCGAGAATCTTTAAATAGCCAGCATGAATCCCAACTCTTAAACCCCTCAAAACTCCCCCCACTTCTCTCTCTCATTCCCTCCCTTTCTCTCTCTAAAAATCACGATATAAAGTAGAAGGAAAAAAAAAAGTTTTCAAAAATGTGCCAGCAAGCTTCATCTCCTCGTTGCAACTGTAATTCAAATTCAACCCAACAAGTTACAGATATTTTCGACCCTTTTTTGATCCCCGAAAACGTCAAACAACCCCAAAAAGTTATAACGAAAACCGTTGATGATGATGATCAGCAATTCAACAAGGTCAAGGCTCACAGCAACAACAACAACAACAACAACAAGAAAACCCATGTTTCATTAGCTGTAAATGAAGCCATTTCGATAGGGAGAATCGCTATCCCAATGATCCTCACGGGTCTCTTGTTGTATTCCCGATCAATGATCTCGATGTTGTTCTTGGGTCACCTCGGTGAGCTTGCACTTGCAGGTGGTTCGTTAGCTGTCGGGTTCGCTAACATCACAGGATACTCGGTGTTATCTGGATTAGCCATGGGAATGGAACCCATTTGTGGGCAAGCTTTTGGGGCTAAAAGACACACGCTTCTTGGCCTCTGTTTACAAAGAACTGTTCTTTTATTGCTTCTCGTCTCTTTCCCGATTGCGATTCTGTGGCTCAACATGAAAAGTATCTTGCTTTTTTGTGGTCAAGATGAAGAAATCGCAACACAAGCACAGACGTATCTGATATACTCACTTCCTGACCTTTTGGCTCAATCTTTATTACACCCATTACGGATTTACCTCCGTTCACAATCGATAACTCTACCTCTCACATTCTGTGCGTCTCTTTCGATCGTTCTTCACATACCCATCAATTATTATCTTGTAAACCACCTGAATTTGGGAATCACAGGCGTCGCGATTAGCAGTGTGTGGACGAATTTTAACCTGGTGGCTTCATTGATGGTTTACATACTCATTTCCGGCGTCTATAAGAAAACATGGGGAGGTATCTCGAGAGAATGCTTAAAAGGTTGGAAATCGCTGTTGAATTTAGCTGTTCCGAGTTGTATATCGGTCTGTCTGGAATGGTGGTGGTACGAAATCATGATTTTGTTATGTGGGCTGTTGGTGAATCCGAGAGCAACCGTCGCTTCAATGGGGATTTTGATTCAGACCACCGCATTGATCTACATATTCCCGTCGTCACTCAGTTTCAGTGTGTCAACTCGTGTTGGTAACGAGTTGGGTGCGGGTCGACCAGGGAAGGCCAAGTTGGCCGCCCTTGTTGGACTCTGCTGTAGCTTTTTCTTGGGTTTTTCTGCTCTGCTTTTCGCCGCCAGCGTGAGAAATTTGTGGGCGACGATGTTCACTCAAGATAAAGAAATCATAGCATTAACCTCCATGGTTCTTCCGATAATCGGTCTTTGCGAGCTCGGAAACTGCCCGCAGACGACGGGGTGTGGTGTTTTGAGAGGCACGGCCCGGCCGAAGATCGGAGCAAATATCAATCTTGGGTGTTTTTACCTGGTGGGGATGCCGGTGGCGGTGGTTTTGGGATTCTTCATGGGGTTCGATTTCGAAGGTTTGTGGTTGGGTATGTTGGCTGCGCAGATGTCTTGCGTGGTGACGATGTTGGTGGTTTTGGGGCGGACGGATTGGGAGTTCGAAGCGGAGAGAGCGAAGGAGCTAACAGAAGGCGGCGGCGACGGCAACGGCAACGGCAACGGCGATGTTGTTGTTGCTGACAACGAAGAAATTAAGGGAGAAGAGTATAAGTTAATAAAAGCTGAAAATAAGGAGGAAGAATCTCTGAATTTTGGGGCTGATTTAGTTTAATGACTTCATTGATTCAGATTTTTCATTATATAATTTATTATATTTTTTAGTTTTTTAGTTTTGTAATTTGAGGTGTTTGTAAAGTATAATTAGTGGGTGGGGGGACAATTTTCACCATTTTTTAATAGTTTAAAAGGCTAAACCAAGACACAAATTTTGGACTTCTTTTCCATCACTAGACTCCTGCCTTTTTATTTTATTACTTTTTTATTTTATTTTTAATTTAATTTAATTATGTTAGATTCGAACGAAGTATGATCTTAACTTACACTTTTGTGAATTAAAAGTATCTATTGATTTACAAAAGCAATTACAAAAATACGATATATTTGGTTTTCGATTTATATATATTTGCTGCTTGATAAAAAAAAAAAAATGGTTTTCGATTAAGTTTCTATTATGTGGTGATCGCAGTTGCATACTTGCATTCAATAAACAAGAGTTGACAATTTGGTGAAAGCTAGATTCTTAACTTTTTTTTTAATATAATAATCCATAGAGATCTTTGAGAACTCGTGCTAAAATATTGATACCTTGAAGCAAGTTTTTATTTATTAAGAATTAATAAAAACCATTTATGTACTATCCTGTGCTAAATTATTATACATGTTAATAAGATAAATATTAGTTTTTATATGCCAGATTCAAAATGAAATTTAATATGACGAATACCTATCTTAAAAACGGACTATGTGCTTTGATCTTCGCATCGATACTATCTTAAACAATCGGTTAATTGTATATCAGTGGGAACCAGAATATACATCCTAATAATAAAGACGAAGTTTATTATTTGTAGAAATTCATACCTTTGATGTCTCGCCCTCATTATTTACTAAGGAAAAAAAAAAAGTTTAAAAAACTAAACTAGGACACAATTTTTGGACTTCTTTTCCATCACTAGACTCCGGTTTCTTTATTTTTTATTTTTTATTTTATTTTTTAATTTAATTTAGTTTAATTATGTTAGAATCAAACGAAGTATGATCTAACTTGCACTTCTGTAAATTAAATGTATTTATTGATTTACAAAGCAATTACAAAATACGATATATTTAGTTTTCGATTAAGTTTCTGATTTTGGGGTAATCGCAGTTACATTCAATAAACAAGAGTTGACATATTCGTAAATTTTCATTATCTTGAAGATGTAACATATTCTTAAATTTTATTTAACTTAATAATCAGTAGTGTATTTATGTATTATCTTATGCTAAATTATTGTACATGGTAATAAAATAAATATTATACCTAGCTTAAAAACAGACTACGAGTTTCGATTTTCGCATCCATACTGTCTTAAACAATCAGTTAATTGTATATCAATCGGAACTAAAGTATACACCCTGATAATAAAGACGAAGTTTAGAGTTTATAGAAATTATCATGATTGATGTCGTGCCCTCACAATTTACAAAGAAAACAAAGTGTTCATATGGCTCCATAAGTTGGGTTAAACATACCTTTGTATTAAAAGCAATGCGTAATTCAAAAAAAAAATTGAGATTCAAATATAAATTCAAAATCAAAGTTTTTTCATGTTTTTTGTTCCTGAACATGCCCTTAATTCTTTTTCATTTTTTTATAATTATTTTAATGTTATTTTGATTTAATAAAAAAATAAAAATAATAATAATAATAAGAGTCACCACCCACCCCAACACACACACACTCTCTCTCTCACACACACACATACACACTTACACATACACATAAACGTCATCTACTTCCGTGTTAAAAGGTATTGAAGCTTAAACAAACACTTCACAGATACATATATATACCTCAACTCATAAAAAAACACACACAACTATATCTCAAAACACACACACACACACACCCCAATTCTTAACTCGATCACACATATACCCAAGAGCGTATACCACTAAATCAAAACACACACACACACACACACATTTTTAAACGCACATCGAAAACCTACCCCAACGTTGAACTCATTTCACTTCGAAGATGATGGCGACGCCTCCTCCGTCATCAACTTCATCAAATCCACTGTCAAGTCAATCCAGTAGCTAATTTCTCCTCTTCAAGATCATACTTTGTAAAGTAGTAGTCATTAGAAGTTCCCTTTGTCAACTCCTTCACACCTTGCCTTCTGTTGCACCTTGCCTTCATTATCTTTCAATATTCACCCAATTGTCTGAATTATCTTGATGAATATGGTTGGTCTGCTCATATATTTACAAAAAAACAATCATAAATTTTGGGAATTGATCAATATGAAAGTTAGAGTTCTATATTATTGGATTTGCTGATAATGAGTTCAAGAAAATTGACGAGTTCAAGAGCATTGATGAAGAAGGCACACATGTCACCTACATGCTTCGTGAAGATCTTAAGGAGAGTCCACTGATCATATCTATAGACTAATATTCCCAACTTCTCACACTTCTTAATTTGTTCATCTGTCAATGCATCTCCACTCTTCAAATTCAGATAGTATGATGTCGTTATTTCCAAGGGTGATTAGGGAAGAAGAGGGAAAAACGCAGTGAGAGACGCTGATGGAGAAAGTGATTTTGGCGTCTTCGAATTTAATGGTGATTGAGTGGACTGTGAGTCCATAGGAGGCTGTGAAGTTGTGGCGGTCAGTACGGGAAAAGGTCAGGATAGAGGCTGAAACATCCAAAAATTATGACCCAAAATTTTCATTTTTGATTGAAGTAAAAATAGTATTCCAAAACATTGTTCATACATCCCAATCGAATAAATATGTCAAACATCATAAAAATGATAGTATGTTCCATAAACAAAATCATTATGGTGTGTGAAATGCAGTCAACCCGAGCTCTTCCCCTTGGAACCAGATGTACCTGAAACATAAACTATAAATTGTAAGCCTAAAGTTTAATGAGTTCCCCAAGATACCACATACCAAACATATCATATAACGGGCCCCGCCCACACTCGTATAACGAGCCCCGCCCAATGAGATACGGGTCCCGCCCATACTCATATAACAGTCCCCACCCAATGAACATACATATACAAGCACGTATACATATCACACAAACAACAAGTATATCTACATACCAATCTAGGGTCGACCTTGGTGCCTTAGAGCCACTAAACCCAGTGAGGAAACTCACCTCGAAAAGTTAAAAGAAACAAATGATCCCTAACTGTTGGTCCTACAACTCCCCGAGTTATCAATTGCCAAAAACAAAATCATTAACATTTGGGATCTACATCATAACCAAAAATCCCTTCATAGGGTAAAAAGACCATTTTACCCCTAACCTAGCCATAGCTGCGTTTCATGATTATGAAATATGGCAAATTGATGTCAAAGCGCTTTCCTTAATGGGAAGTTAGCTAATGATGTTTACATGAGTTAGCCAGAGGGTTTTGTTGATGTGAAACATCCTAATAGATTGTAAGCTTGAGAAATCCATTTATGGATTGAAACAAGCATCATGTAGATGGAATCTTTGTTATGATGAGAAAGTCAAAGAGTTTGGTTTCCTACGAAGCGAGGATGAGTCTTGTGTATATGTCAAAGGCAGTGGGAGTATAGTTACCTTCCTCGTATTTTATTTTGATGACAAACTACTCATAGGAAATGACATCCCAACCATGCACGAGGTTAAGTCCTGGCTTGGGAAGTGCTTCTCTATGAAGGACCTCGGAGAGGTTGCCTATATTCTGGGAATAAGGATAATGAGAAATAGGAGTAAAAGGCTAATAGGACTTACTCAAAATACTTACTTGAATAAGGTACTAAAACATTTTAGTATGGAGAATTCCAAGAAGGGGGATTTGCCGATCCAAAGCAATACCAAGTTGAGTAAGACTCAAAGCCCGGGTATTGAAGTCGAGATAGAAAAAATGAGTTGAGCACCTTACACTTCCACAGTTGGCTCGTATTCAGCACCAGAAATGCCTCAAAAATAAGCTAGAAATGACCCTAAACTCTTGAGTGGAGAGATATAACAAGAAAATGATCAAGGTAATGACTTTTTACCTCCAAATGAATGCCAAAATGAAGAAGATGTTAGATCTACAAGCTTCCTCTCATTCCAAGCTTCTCAATCCTCAAGTATCTTCAAGAAAAGCACCAAACACACACTCTTTAGCCTCACACACACTTAAAATAGGAGGTTAGCTTGATTAGGGTTTGTTTATGGTTACATAGGTGGTAAAGGAGGCTAGAGGGAGGACTCAAGGTCCTTTAAATAGGGTGTAAACCCTAAAAATTAGGGTTTTCATGCACAACCTCAACTCGTCGAGTTGGGTCCTCCCTATCGTCGAGTAGCCTTCATAAACCACTCCACCGGATCTGTTTCTACAAGACGAGTTAGGGCAGTTAACTCGTCGAGTAAGTACAAAAATATGAATACAAATTTTCTAAATTTATACTTGGGAGTCGGGATGTTACATTCTCCCCCAATTGAACTAGACTTCATCCTTGAAGTCTGCTGCGGTGAACAACTCCAGGTAATGCTCCCGTATCTCGGCCTCCGGCTACCAAGTCCACTCAGATCCTCTCCGATGCTCCAATTGTACCTTTACCAAAGGTACCTCCTTGTTCCGTAGAACCATCACTTTCTTCTCCAGAATGGCCACTGGCCTCTCCACATAATTCAGGCACTCATCGATCTGAATATCATCTAATTACCGCATTGCCTCCTCATTTAAAATGCACTTCCATAATTAGGATACGTAAAAAGTGTTGTGAATTTGACTGAGCTCCTCTGGAAGGTCTAGTCTATACGCCGCCTTGCCAACCCTAGCAATAACCCGAAAAGGTCTAATGAATCGGGGACCCAACTTTCCTATCTTCCTAAAGCGGATCACACCCTTCCAGGGTGAGACCTTCAACAATACCATATTGCTGACCTGGAACTCCACTCAAATCGGCGTCGATTGGTGTAACTTTTCTATCGACTCTAAGTGGTCTGCAACCGCTGTCTAATCTGCTGAATCTTCTCATTAGTTTATAGAACTACCTCGGTCCAACCCATCACCCTATGATCGAC